ACACTCAAACGGCTTTTCTCCTGTGTGGGTGCGAAAATGTTGCCGTAAACAACTCGCTTGTGAAAACTTGTTGCCGCACACAGAACACTCAAACGGCTTTTCTCCCGTGTGAGTACGGAGGTGTCTCCGCAGGTTACCAGCTACCGAAAACTTGCCGTCGCAGAAAGTGCACTCAAACGGCTTTTCTCCCGTGTGAGTTCGAAGATGTTCACGCAAAGCACCGCTTCCCCAAAACAATTTTTTGCACACAGCGCACTCGTACTCGTACACTTTCTCTCCTGCGTGGATGCGGCGAAAATGTATCTGTAAGTCGGACTTTTCCGAAAATTTCCTACTACACACAGAACATTCATGCGGCTTCTCTCCTGTGTGGGTGCGGTCATGTCTCCGTAATGCGGTACTACTTGCAAATTTCTTTTTGCACACTGTACAGTCGAATGGATTCTCTTCTGTGTGCGTACGGTAATGTGCACGCATATAAGAACCACGAGCAAATTTCTTTTTGCACACTGTACACTCTAATGGATCCCCTATGTGCGTGTGCGTACGGAGGTGATTACTCAAATTTCCAGCTCTCGGAAACTTCCTGTCGCATTGGGAGCAGTCATACGTTTTGCCTCCTCCGAGGGTTTTCATGTTGATGCTATGTTTTTTGTTGCCTCTTTTAGTCCCTGAAAAACAATAACAAACAGATGAAATTTTCGAATGGTTCTGTTAATTGAATAAACTTGTCAGCTTTTTAAATTTAAGACTTCCAAATTTTTATAGACTTCTTGTGTTATCTTAGCGCTCCTTTTTTAATGAAAAATTGTTGGAGCTTGGCAGTGTCATCTTATGGGGGCCGTTGGCTGCTGAAGACTAGCGGGTCTTGTCCGGGACACGGACGGACAGGCAGAAAATATAAAGTACCTACCTTCAAAAAGAACGATCGATCATATCTTAACGACCTCTACGACGAGTCCGCACTCCGCAGCGCAGCCCTGCCTCGCAAAACTTTCTACACTATAGTTTGGTCAAGCAGGGTCAGCTCGCACCTTAGGACTGTCCTGTCTTCTGGCACTGTGCTTCTGGTCTGGCTCTTGCTGCAGCTGCAGTCTCCGTGTGGGCCTTTCCGCGGTGGTAGACTGGCAGGGAATCCCTAGTAGGGGCCCGCCGCCGAGCGCCGCCGAGGCGCCTAGTGGTGTGGCCGACGGCCGACGACTACAATTCGCTCGGCGAGTGTGATCACGACGGTGGGCACGGGCAGGGCAGGGGGGAGGGG